TAGGTCTGTCTCCTTCTCAGGTGTTGTCTCTGTGATCTTTGTCTGCCTGTAGTTTTGCCTTTTCATGGTGATAGAGATAGTTTGCAGAGCTGGTACAAGTGACCGCTGGAAGAGCTTCCCTTCTTGTTGGTTTGTAGCCTTTTCCTGGGAGAATAGCGACCTCTAGTGGCTTGTGCTGGGCAGCTGTGCGCAGACAGGGCTTCTGCTTCCTGCCCAGTTGCTTTGGGGTTTATCTCCGCTGTTGCTGTGGGCTTGGCCTGGCTGGGGCTGTTCCTCCAAAATGGTGGAGCCCCGTTGGAGGGGGAGCAGCCAGGAGACTATTTATCTCCGTAAGGGGCCTCTGTGCTCCCTGCTGCCCAGGGGGTTAGAGTGCCCAGAGATCCCCAGATTCCCTGCTTCTGGTCTAAGTGACCTGTCCTGCCCCTTTAAGATTTCCAAAAAGCACTCTCCAAACCAAAACAACAACAGCAACAATGAGAGAGGGAACAGAAAGGAAAAAAAAAAGAAAAAACACGCGATTTTTTTTTTTTTTTCCCCAGGTGCCGGTCCCAGGCACCCGCGCACTGGTCCTGCTGCCCTGTCTCCCTAGCACCAGGGTCCCTGTCCTTTCAAGGCTTCCAAAAAGCACCCACCCACCGGTCCCGCAGGGAAGGAACGCTCAATATTCTTGGTCCTCAGGCACTGGTCCCACGCACCCGCTCACCAGTCCCGCCGCCCTGCCTCCCTAGCACCGGGGTCCCTGTCCCTTCAAGGCTTCCAAAAAGCACTCGGCAAAAAGAGAGAAAAAAAAGGGGAAAAACGCGCGATTTCTTCCGTCCTCAGGTGCTGGTCTCAGGCACCCACCCACCGGTCCCACAGGGAAAAATGCGGGATATTCTTTGTCCTCAGGTGCCGGTCCCAGGCACCCGCTCACCAGTCCCGCCGCCCTGCCTCCCTAGCACCGGGGTCCCTGTCCCTTTTAGGCTTCCAAAAAGCACTCGCAGAAAAGAGAAAAAAAAAAGGGGAAAAACGCGCGATTTCCTCTGTCCTCAAGTGCCGGTCTCAGGCACCCGCCCACCGGTCCCGCAGGGAAAAACGGGGGATATTCTTTGTCCTCAGGCGCCGGTCCCAGCCACCCGCTCACCAGTCCCGCCACCGTGCCTCCCTAGCACTGGGGTCCCCGTCCCTTCAAGGCTTCCAAAAAGCGCTCGCCAAAAAGAGAAAAAAAAAAAAAGGGGAAAAACGCGCGACCTCCTCCGTCCTCAGGCACCGGTCTCAGGCACCCGCCCCCAGGTCTCGCAGGGAGAAACGCGGGATATTCTTTGTCCTCCGGCGCCGTTCCCAGGCACCTCCTCACCGGTCCCGCCACCCTGCCTCCCCAGCAACGGGGGCCCGTCCCTCTAAGGCTTCCAAAAAGCGCTCGCCAAAAAAAAAAAAAGCTCCGGTTTCTCTCCACCCGCCGGGAGCCGGGGGGAGGGGCGCTCGGGTCCCGCCGGGCTGGGGCTTGTATCTTACCCCCTTCACAAGGCGCTGGGTTCTTGCAGGTGTGGATGTGGTCTGGATGTTGTCCTGTGTCCTGTGGTCTCTATTTTAGGAAGATTTTTCTTTGTTATATTTTCATAGCTCTATGTGTTTTTGGGAGGAGATTTCCACTGCTCTACTCATGCCGCCATCTTGGCTCCGCCCCCGCTTGCTTGCCTTTTTAACAGTGTGGTACTGGGTACACTTCTGGACAAAAATCTTGTCCTGCTTTACCACCACCCACTTTTATTTCACTCATTTGATAGCCGTGTTAGGAAGGTCCCCAGTCTGAAGTAGGATGTCCCACTAAGTCCAAGGACATGCTCAGTCCAACGTACATGTGCCTATGTTCCTTCCACTTCTGGTTACCAGCAATTTCAGGGGAGTTTTCGCCATAGCAGAGCTGCTAGGCACCTACTAATAGCTCTCTCCTTTATTTCAGAACTGTGTTTTTCTCAATGCTTGGGGAAGAGGGCCAGGGGTAAAATGTAGCCTAGGTCAGGGGAATGGGTGGACACACCCTCTACTTGAATCTTGCTGCTCAGTTCAGTCCATAGCATGGTTTCTCTTCTTGAGACTTCTCTTTGAGGTACCTTTATTTCTCCTTCCAGTTCTGTCCCCTTCAGAGACTTTTGGGTCTGCTTTGACATTATTTCATGTTTACCATGCACCAGGTACTGTTAGCACTTTATGAATGATTAATTGTCCAACATTAGGTAGGTCCTACTAGTAACAAACACTCTTTTACAAATGAGGAAACTGAGGCAAATTAAGTTACCTCATATCACACAGCTAGTAAGTGGTGGAACCAGGCTTCAAACCAGGCATTTGGCTCCAAATTCCATCTTACACTATGCAATCTCCCCATCAGACAGGTTTGTGCAAATCTTATCTCAGCCTCACAAATTATTGATTTCACAGCACAATTTCTCCTGCAAGATTTTTGGTCGCCCATTGAAAATTAAGGATGTACCTGGATATGTTTCAATGTCCCCTAATGTTCCATGACAGTTTAATTCCAGGCACTGACTTCTCAGAGCACATAGCACAATTTCATGGTGGTGGTGGTGGAGGCCACAATATCCTCTATAAAATTAGTTTTTGAAACATCTTTATACTAGATTGTAATAAAGGCAACCACTAATAGGCATCAAAAGTTAAGAGAAATTCAGGAAAGCAATACTTTTGGTTGAGCCCATTAACTTATTTTTTTGAAGTGAATTTGGAGAAAAAAATCTTTATCTGCTCTTCATTATATATACTTCATATTTTTCACCACCTGCAGAGATACCGCTTTTCCTTGGTCCAATCAGCCAGTATTCCTGACTTAAATATATTGTATTTGCAGCCTAAATGCTACCAGAAGGAAGGTCTTCCTCCTTTCACTCTGATCACCTACAAGTGATTTTTCAGGAAGCAGCCAAAGTGACTCCTCATGACTTTCAGTCTTTGTTCAAAACTCATTCAAGACTTTCCACCTCTGCATTTTAAAACTGGGGTATGTGTATTCAGACTCCAGCAGAGGAAATTTTTCCAAGTGGTACAAAAGTACGGGCAGTTTTAGAGGATTTAAACATGTATAAAAATTAATCATATGCACACACATAGTTTTTTAATGCAATGTTTACAGCTACAAAAATGAAAAATGGAATTGATACAGGACCCTATCTCTTCCTAGCAATGTTATATACATCCGTGTCTACGTGAACTGAAAAAAAAAAAGTACCAGTCATTTCATTAAAAGGCATTCCCAGTTAACACTTTCATGTTTAATATTTAACAAAATGCGACACTTTTTAATTACGTACTTCAAAAATGGAAGACGGTGTTTGTTAAACCACCTTAGCAGCTACTTTCCCATTGGCTAGACTTAAAAAGTAGCGGTAACAATTTAAAAGGTCAGTATTGCAAAATGTCAGAAATTGCACCCTGCAATTATTTACACACGATGAAAAATTTTATAGTCAAAAATCACAATGTTTGAGGGGAGAACATAGTTTTTAAAAGTTCTTTTCAAGGGCACAAAAGTTAAAAATTGAAGACCACTTCTGTATATGATCTGGCTCCCTTGTCTTATCTCATGTTCTATTACTTTCACTTTTTCAAACACTCCAGCCACACCGATTCCTACCTGTTCCTTTCACAAGTCAGGTATCCCTGTCTGCCTCAGATCTTTTGTACTTACTGTTTGTTCCTCTGCCTGCAACACTCTTCTGCGAGAGAGCCAGAGGTCATCTGTCAAGAGGGTTCTTCCTGAGTCATCTCTAATCTTTTATTTTCTTTTTCCAGAGCATTTATAACTCCCTGGCATATCAATCTTCCTCCATTAGACTGTAAACTCCTCGAAGGCAAGGATCTCCCTTGCTCTCTGCTGTAATCCTAGCATCTCTATAACACTACCTGACACATACTAGGATGTATTTTTGAACGAATAAATGAAAAATGTGTCGAGGAGTCTTAAGGACTCATATTAGCTCAACTAAGTTTCTTGGGAACGCTGTCAGATGTCAGATGAGGAAAGTACTTCATAATCCTAATATTAAAACAAATGCTGCACTACATAAAAATCTCCAGGGTACTTTTTCACATAAAGACAATCCTTTCGTAAAGCTTCCAGTACCGATAGGGAACTTACGACCCATTCACGCTGGATCACTAACGGCGACCTCCAGGATTTAACATGTTAGATCGGTGGCTCCTCAAACTGACGCACAACAAAATCAGCTGAAGCGACTCTCCCCTCACTTCCAGATGCACACAGCGGGGTGTGGCCCTGGTATCTGATTTGAAAAGCTCCTCAGTTGATTTTCTGATATGCAGCAACGTCTGGGAACCAATCAAACCATAAGGAGCTAAATATAGCTGTTAAAGAGTTTCTTCCTCACCCGGTCTTTGCAGGCTAATTCTGTCAGACCACTAGTAAAAAAAAAAAAAAAGCCCTGCTTTACAGTTCCACAGAGGCACAACTACCCAAAGGAATGCGGCCGGGTAAAGAAGAGAGACCAAGAGGCCGCGGCGTCCGACCGTGCGGCCAGTGAGACTTCCGCGGAGACGCGCCTGCCTCCGGGGACGGCACCGCCCTGGAGACGTTCGCTTGGGAGGGACCGATTTAGGTCCCTATCCTTCCACCCTTTCTCGCTCTTCTTTCCACACCACCGCTGATTCCGAGCTCGTACCATCCCGGGCCAAAGGCAGTTCACAAGTCAACTGCCTCGGCTTATTGGAAGGTGAACCGCCGCGGTGCGGACGCAGAGCGCCGGTGCCAGAAGCCTGGAGGCGTGGCGAGGGCAGTTCCGCGCTCGAGCCCCGAGTTCCCGCCTCCCTCCGGAGAACGTCGGTATGTACGTGCGCGCGCTCCGCCCGCCCACTTTCAACCGTGCGACGCGAGGGCGGGGCGCCTCGTGCGCGCGCGCTCTCGTGTGTTCGCTCGCCTGCTCGCTCTCGGCGGCTGCTTTTGCTGCGGCTGCGGCTGGGGCTGGGGGCGGCGGCGGCGGCGGAGGCGGTGGCGCGGGCGGCGGGCGGTGCGGGGCGGTCCGGCGGGTTCAAAGAGGAAAACATGGCGGAAAACAAAGGCGGCGGCGAGGCTGAGAGCGGCGGTGGGGGCTGCGGCAGCGCGCCGGTAACTGCCGGGGCCGCCGGGCCCGCGGCGCAGGAGGCGGAGCCGCCTCTCGCCGCGGTGCTGGTGGAGGAGGAGGAGGAGGAAGGCGGCAGGGCGGGCACGGAGAGCGGCGCGCCTGGGCCCGACGACGGGGGGGTGTCCGCGGCCTCCTCCGGCTCGGCCCCGGCTGCCTCAGTCCCTGCGGCCTCAGTGGGTCCTGGAGTTCCCGCAGGGGCATTACCGACGCCGGCCACAGCTCAGGCCGCGGCTCCCGCTCCAGGTCCCTCCGCGGGGCCGCCTCCCGGACCGCCAGCCTCGCTCCTGGACACCTGCGCCGTGTGTCAGCAGAGCTTGCAGAGCCGGCGTGAGGCGGAGCCCAAGCTGCTGCCCTGTCTTCACTCTTTCTGCCTGCGCTGCTTGCCCGAGCCTGAGCGCCAGCTCAACGTGCCCATCCCCGGGGGCAGCAACGGCGACATCCAGCAAGGTGAGCGGGAGGCCCTGCCCGAGGTCCGAGCCGACGGGAATTTGCGGGGCCGAGGAAGATCTGGGGGCCAGAGGTGCTTGGCCTTGGGGCTGCTCGGACCGGCGCGATCCTGAGGGATTTAAGAGGTGAAAGACATGACCGCGGCAGTTTCCAGAGAAGCTGGACCGCCAGAGATACGGGGGTAGTGAAGGGAGGGGTGCTGGCTGAGAGAGGCTGGGGGAGGGGACACCGACTGCAAGGGAGGACTGTAATGTGCCCAGACTGTTGGGAAGCGGGTGGACCCGGACTGTGAGAGGAGGGGATGGGGGCGGGGGGCGGTGTCTGGGAAACCTGGGAGAAGCGTTTTGGGAGCGAAGGCCCGGAGCCGAGAGGTGTTGAGAGAGTAGGTAAGAGGTTAAGGGCTGTGAGGGTGAATTGCCCTAGACGGAGGATAAAGAGGACTACGGATTAAATGGAGGAGGATCAAGGAAGGGCATTGGAGAGTTTTGGACTAAGAAGAGGAGGTCTGGTGGAAAGTAATTTTAAGGTGATGTTAGGAAGGAGGAACTCTGGAAACGAAAATAGTTGTGAGGGGCCAGCATGGTTAGAGAAAAAAAACCCTAAGATTTATAGGTGAAGGAAAACGGATCTTTGAAGGGAATTGGGAGTTAGGGAGAGCTGGTCAGGAATTTCAGTTCATTTACATTAATGAGCCGCTAGTGTTCTGGATACTGTGCTGGGATTGAATTTTATAATAATGAGCTCATTCACAGTCTAATACAGGGGAAACAAATACAGAACATACAGCAGTGGAGGTGTGTACTTCGCGTTGTTAGTGGCACAATCAAGAGAAAGTCAGGGAAACCTCTCTGAAAAGGAACCCTTGAGCGTTTCCTTAAGGGTGAGTAGCTAGCTCACTGTACTGCAGAGTTTTCAGAGCACAGGACACTTTACCTTTACCTGGAACTAAGGGATATGTGAGGTGACTGGTGGAAATTAGGTTGGGTTGATGGATGGGCTGAATAGGTAAGGTGCCTGCAACTCTTATCTGAAACCTTTGGAACCAGGTTTAATTTAGACTCCAGAACAGTTTGGAAAATTTTCTTTTTTCTGCTGAGGTCTCTAGTACTCCTGTAGGGTCTGGGTTCACTCATTATCAACACATTAATGTTTCTGCTGCGAAACATGAATATCACATTAATGGGATAGACAATGCATATTCAGAGACTACAGATTATTCTGCAGTTCAGGGTGGGTTTTGTTGCAAATTTAGGAAAAAATGAAAATTTCAAGCTTTCGAGTTTTGGAGCTGTAGGTAAAGGATTGTTGACCTGTACTAAAGGGTTTGGAATTTATCCTGTAAAGTGTAGACTAAAGGGAGTCTGTGCAGGACTTTTGTATCAAGAGAGTAAGAGAGAGGATCACATTCATTCTCCAGAAAGATACTTGGGATACATTGAAGGGAGTATATTAAAAGGGTATCTTAGAGGAGGAGGCATTTTTGGTACAGGGGAAAGGTATGGGCTTTGTGAGACATTTGAGTTTGAATGTGTTCTTTGTCACTTACTACTTGTGACTTGGACAGATTTTTCTTAGCTTTAGTTTTCTCATTTGTGAAACTGGACAAAATTATCTACCTCAGAGTTGCTGATGGAATGAAGTGTGTAAATGACTAAGACATGGTAATTATTAATGAAATGGCAGTAGTTTATTATTAGTAACTAATTGTAAGCAGCCGTGGAAGTGGGTATGGGAGGGAGGATTGAGATTGACATGAGGGGAGATCTGTCTAGGCTGAGTTCTAGGTTTCTTGTTTGGTGGGTGGCAGTGCTGTTAATAGAAATGAAAGAATTCAGGCTCAGAAGCAAATGTATACGTGTGGTGGAGGGAGGATATAATGATTTCAGTTTTGGATGTTTCAGATAAGAAGTATTTTTGAGGCATATAGGTAAGAATGTTGAGAATAAGGGTTTGATTGTTGGAGAATATACTAAGTGATAATGAGGATATACTAAGTGATATGGAAGGTGGATAATGAGTATAATAACTGACTGCTCATGGCCTTAGCAGAGTAAGACACGGGATTCAGTGTTCTTGTGAGAACCTGGATTATGTGAGAGATTTAGAGGGAACACAAGATGAAAATTGTGTTTGATGTGGCTGAGGGATTGAAGTTATGAAATATAAACTGATGTTTATGCAGGAGAGAGAATAATAGTCTGTAAATTCCTTCCTAATTTCTTTATCTTTTGTTCTTGAACTAGGAAGCAGTAAGGAGTTGGGACTAAATAATGTCAATCCTGAGGTAATAATTGCTTTCTAATCAGTATTAAAACAAATTAAGCCTGGAAACCACCATGTTTTTAGGCAGGGAATCTAGAAAATAATTTTTTAATATTAACTTCTGTATATATTATTTGCTTTGATTTTCAAAAGAGCGAGCGGGCTATTCTGGAGGCAACTTTGGAGTCGGAGTAGTTCTGTCACTTAATTGTTTCTCAGAAGGAAGTTCATAATATTTCTGCCCCTCAGTTTTTTTAATCTCTAAAATGTAGCTAAAAGTCCTTCACTTATATCTCACTAAGACAAATTTAATAATGTGCAGATGCTTTTATAAACTGAACTGCTTTCCAAATGCAAGGCAATATTGAACTACCTGTGATTCCATCTCTGGTCTGAAGAGGCATAGCTGGTAGTTTAATTCATCATTTTAAGTGGCTTCGAAACAGTAACAAGTATATTATTCCCCCTTCCTAAGTGGCCTTTTTCTGTTCCTGTAACACCAAAGTTATCCACGCCTTTTAACTGTTCCCTCTAGATCAGTGGTTCTCTAGGTATAGTTCCTGCACCAGGAGCATCAGCATCATCTTCCTTCTTGTTAGGAATGCAAATTCTTGGGCCCCACTCCAGACTGCCTGACCAGCAACCTGTTTTAGCAAGTCCTCCAGGTGATTTTGATGCACACTAGGTTTAAGAACCATTGTTCTTGAGTGAAAGACTCCTTCGAATGTTGCCTCCTCAGAAAAGCCTTCTCTGACTGCTTTTTTTTTTTTGGTAAAGGCTTTAATGTTTTAGAGCAGCTTAGGTTTATAGCAAAATTAAGAGGATGATAGGGAGATTTCCTATATAATACCAACCCCCACACATGGATAGCCTCATCCATTATCAGTAATCCCCCACCAGAGTAGTGTATTTCTTAAAATTGGTGGACCTGCGTTGACACCCAAAGTTCATAGTTTACATTAGGGTTCAGTCTTAGTGTTGTTCATTCTGTGGGTTTGGACAAATGTGCAGTGACATGTATCCATCATTATAATACCAAGTATTTCACTGGCTTAAAAGTCCTGTGTCTGCTCTTTGTAAGGTAGTCCTCCAGGTTACTGTCTGACATACTTTTTTCTCTTCATAGCACAGTTGAAATCCAAAATGTTTACTTGTGTTTGTTTATCTTGTTTCCCACTAGGATATTGTAGAGTTAATGTTCAATGAATTTATTTGGAGATTTAGAATTGAAAAGAGAGAATATGCCTCTGGAGAGTTGGGGCATGGGGCAGACTCAGAGGGGGTTGCCAGTATGTAGTTTTGAATGATAAGAATCATCTGGAGAGCTTTTTAAAATGCCAGTCTTGGAAGTTTCAGAGATTCTGTTTTGCTTGATTTGGGGATAACACTAGGAATCTGCATTTTTAACAGTTACCTAATGTGATTCTGATTCTGGTACCTGTCACACTTTGAGAAACATGGATTTAAATATTTTGAGGAAAAAGGCTGATCTTATTATTTACTCTTGGATTATTTGGAAAAATCAAAATAGATAAACTAGTTAATAATTGTTGAATTTCAGTAGTGAGCATTTTAAAGATTTCTTGTGTTTTTTTTTTTTCTATTTCAGGTTGAGTTAGAATAGCTATCAGTAGTGACTGTATAAATGTGTATGTCAGTAAAAACACAAATTTCTATTGATGCATCTGAACAAACTCCCAAATGGGCCCTTGAGATGAGACACGTAGTAGGGCTCATCTAAGACAGCGTGATGATGTGGATGAACAACCAGATTGGTAGTGACTTGCACTGGGTTCTTAATTATTAATTAGTTATTAATAACTAATTCTTAGTTATTAGCTGTGTAGCAAGTTACCTAGGTAGTCTGTCCAGATCTTCTGCAATATGAAGAATGAGTTCCCATCCTATAAAATTATATGATTCTGTTATGTTTTATGCTAACTTTTTACATCTGCATAAATTTAATATTGTTTGTGGGGTATGATGGAAGAATCAACATGGAAAAATGATTTTATTTCTGAATCTTCAGTTTATTGTGAAGCCTCTGAGATTGCAACAGTCATGTGGTAAGTGGGAGGAAACCTCTGGGTGTAGTGTGACGAATACCTACTACAGTAGTTCTGTCTGTTTTATCACTGAGCATGGTGACCCACTCTGGGGAGTCTTCTGTTTTAACTCTTGGTAGTTCTTGCCCCAGGAGTACTTATGCTGTAGGGTAGTTTTAGTTCAGTGTGGGGCTTATCTGTTTGGGATTTTTTAGTCCCTACTTTCTCTAATGCCCTACTTGACCATAAACAAACTTGAGTTTATGGTCATCAGCAATCAGTCAATAAAGATCTGTCAAACAAAACTGAAACCTCTTATAACAACTTTCTGCATTGTGATTGGTTAAGCCCACACAGTTCAGGAGTTAGGCCACCTAAATACTCTTTTTGAGCTCCACCATTTAGTACTTGAATGTCTATGGATAAGTTGAGGGTAATAATTACATGTACGTCATGGTATTATTGTGAGGATTAAGTGAGTTAATAGATTGTTAAGTGCCTGGCACACAGTAAGCCCCCAATAAATTATAGTACTACTATTTTATCTTCCAGTAGTTCTCTGCTGTCTTTGTGACTACCTCAGCCTCACAGTAAGCAGGAAGAAGAGGCAGAAAAGTAAATTGTTGCTGTTTTTCTAGGCTCTTCTGACATCTGATGATGTACAGCATGCCTGACAAGTTACTTGCATTTCAA